AAGATAGTTCATGCCCACTATAAGAGCCTTCAAGAGAAATTCCCCCATGTCTATAAGCAGAAAATGATAGTTGCATATTCAAAAAATAAGAACTTAAATGATAATATTGTTCATAGTAAACTAAAAACAATCAGTACATAACAGATACTATACTTCTCGCCCATCGGGCGAGTTATTTTTTCTAATTTCAGATCAGAATAAGAACAGAAGAAAACCCAATATCAAGACCCTTAATCCTAATTTCTAAATAAAGTGTCTGCTCCACCCTAGGCCTGTACATTTGGGAGAATCAAACCCTCCCTTCCCCGAAATCTAAATAACCAAACTGTTTACCTATAATATAGATTACATATCACAATTAGTATACTATTATAACAATAACATGTAAATAACTCTAAATAACCAAACTGTTTACCTATAATATAGATAACATATCATAATTAGTATACTATTATAACAATGACATGTAAATAACTCTAAATAACCAAACTGTTTACCTATAATACAGATAACATATCACAATTAGTATACTATTATAACAATGACATGTAAATAACTCTAAATAACCAAACTGTTTACCTATAATACAGATAACATATCATAATTAGTATACTATTATAACAATGACATGTAAATAACTCTTAATAACCAAACTGTTTACCTATAATACAGATAACATATCACAATTAGTATACTATTATAACAATAACATGTAAATAACTTTGTTCCCACTATATCAGAAACTCATTATTTTGTAAGCAACTCTACGAATAAAAGGTACCCGATCCAGGAACATCTAACATGTGAACATTCGAATGTAATATATTTAATTTCATGCAAGAAATGTCCCAAACAATATGTAGGAGAAACTAAGAATAATTTACGAACTCGCTTTAATGCTCATAGGTCAGACATCAAATTAAAGAAAGACAAGCCTGTTTCTAATCATTTCAACCTCGACGACCATTCAATAGACGATCTCACCCTAATCCCAATTGAGCGTATAGAAATTGACTTGCCCGAAGATGAAACTACCAAATTCCGTCAATCTAGGGAGGCCTATTGGATTGAGACATTGAATACAGCAAGACCTATAGGACTAAATATTCATCATAATGTAGGCATAGCACCCTTTGTTGTCCCGTTTAATACAACCAGCAATCGAGCAAGCAAGATAGTTCATGCCCATTATAAGAGCCTCCAAGAGAAATTCCCCCATATCTATAAGCAGAAAATGATAGTTGCATATTCAAAAAATAAGAACTTAAATGATAATATTGTTCATAGTAAACTAAAAACAATCAGTACATAACAGATACTATACTTCTCGCCCATCGGGCGAGTTATTTTTTCTAATTTCAGATCAGAATAAGAACAGAAGAAAACCCAATATCAAGACCCTTAATCCTAATTTCTAAATAAAGTGTCTGCTCCACCCTAGGCCTGTACATTTGGGAGAATCAAACCCTCCCTTCCCCGAAATCTGAATAACCAAACTGTTTACCTATAATATAGATAACATGTCACAATTAGTATACTATTATAACAATAACATGTAAATAACTCTAAATAACCAAACTGTTTACCTATAATATAGATAACATATCATAATTAGGATACTATCATAACAATAACATGTAAATAACTCTAAATAACCAAACTGTTTACCTATAATACAGATAACATATCACAATTAGTATACTTTTATAACAATAACATGTAAATAACTCTAAATAACCAAACTGTTTATCTATAATACAGATAACATATCACAATTAGTATAGTATTATAACAATGACCTGTAAATAACTCTAAATAACCAAACTGTTTACCTATAATACAGATATCATATCATAATTAGTATACTATTATAACAATAACATGTAAATAACTATAAATAACCAAACTGTTTACCTATAATACAGATAACATATAACAATTAGTATACTATTATAACAATGACATGTAAATAACTCTAAATAACCAAACTGTTTACCTGTAATACAGATAACATATCACAATTAGTATACTATTATAACAATGACCTGTATTAACTCTAAATAACCAAACTGTTTACCTATAATACAGATATCATATCATAATTAGAATACTATTATAACAATAACATGTAAATAACTCTAAATAACCAAACTGTTTACCTATAATATAGATAACATATCATAATTAGTATACTATTATAACAATGACATGTAAATAACTCTAAATAACCAAACTGTTTACCTATAATATAGATAACATATCACAATTAGTATACTATTATAACAATGACATGTAAATAACTCTAAATAACCAAACTGTTTACCTATAATACAAATAACATATCACAATTAGTATACTATTATAACAATGACATGTAAATAACTCTAAATAACCAAACTGTTTACCTATAATACAGATAACATATCACAATACGCGTATATGCAAATATTGTCATGACAAGAAAGAGAAATTTTATTTTTACTCTTAATTATTAGTTTTAAGTCGTAGGCATAATGACATTCAAAATATTTCGAATTGGACACCCTGAATATTTATACAATAAATTTACGGAAAGATCAAAATTAACGGAAACCAGTATGACACTGAGATCAGAAACACTCCGAACTTTAAACATACCGAAATGTAATAAAAATGCTATGATGAGAACATTTCAATATACAGCTTCTTTACTTTGGAATTCATTACCACAAACTGTAAAACATAACCCTTCTTTATATACATATAGACAAGAGCTGAAGAAGTTTGTTCTTACTGACAATACTGATAATGA